TTGTTAAGTATTCAAGTCAGAAACGTCATAATGATATTATAATATATTAGTTGGATAGTGAATAATGGTTCCACAACCGTGCTCCAAATAGATGTTATCGCTCGACGTGGGATTTAATTTGATTGGTAATAGAATGGAAGTTTTTTCGATGTGCGATAGGAATGTTTATTTATACATTTTGTTAATTTACATTATAATATATTTAGATTGATGTTTGCCAAACATGTGTAGACAATCCAATGAGTTTTATTTTGTATTTTTAGAATAAATTAAAAAGCATTTAAATTTTTACATGTGTAATAAATCATATAAGGAACTCACTAAAGATTATATTTTATACATACTATTTGGTAATCTACGTTACATCTTGGACATGTGATATTTTTCGGCGACATTGATATGTCCCTATGTATACGATTTTGATTCTTTTTGTCGCAAATCTGAAATATTCTCCTTTTAATGAGAATTGTCACAGTTGGAATATTGGACTTGAACACCTCCCTGCAATTTTTTTAGTTTGTGGAATAGATTGGTTAGTTTCACTAATTTCATTAGAATTTTTACACCTCTACTGTCGTGCATAGTGATTAAAGCAACAACGGTTTGATACATTGCTTGCTGGTTATTTTGTTTGCAAGATGCAATAAGTAGTTGTAATCCTTTGTTTCTATCATGTTCCACGAAGAACAAATGTGTTCCAAGCAATAGTGAAGCATGCTTGTTTTTTGCTTCTGCAAGGATCTTCAGAATTGAAATTCCAGCCATTGTTATTGTTGGTAGTTTGTGTCGTTGTTTGAAGATATTTCTTCCATGTAAGACTTGCTTTATGTTTGTTTGCTGGTTTTGAGATTTGCACCTGTAAATTGTAAGGTAAAGAATGGTTTTCGAACACAAGATGCAGAATAATAGTAAAATAAAAAAAAGTGTTTTCCAAACACAAGATCCACAACAACAAAAAAAAAAAAAAGTGTAAATAATAGTTTTAATAGTTGGTAATCATAATATCATTACATGTATGATCAAGAAGTTAATAATAAAAAAGTGTGAAAAATATGGTTCAGTTAAATATCGATTCTAAACATGTATTTGGGTTTTTATGTATTAGAAAAATGTTAAGAACTAAAGACACAAGTGATTCGGCATAATCCGTTTCAATTGTTGGGAGTCGACATACGGTTTTCTATATGACTAACAAAACAATGAAATCAACAGATTAACGAAACATGATGATATTAGTAAAACTCACATTAACCGTATTGCTTGAAGAGTGATGTTATTATTCTGAATTGCTTTTGCAATGATTCGTTGCACAATTTGTGATGGTAATTGTAACAGATTTGTGGGTTGTGTTTTTGTTCTTTTGTAAGGAATCATGATGTTTTGGTGGCCTTTCTTTTTTGTGTGTGTAAGTATATGGAAATTATAATGTTGTTACGGTCTTAGTGGTTTATATAATTTTTGTGTAGATATTGGATAGCGAACAATTTTCTATGTGTTTGGATTTGGTAGATATTATCATGTTAATTATTAATGAGAGTTAGCGTTGTTATTTGAATCTCGTTTTTAGTATTTTTGTAAATTAATGATGATATTTTTATTTTGTTGAACATTAATTATTTGATTTTGTTATATATATCAGATATCGTTGCTTCATTGTTGATTCTATCGAGAAAAATCGATTATTCTATTCAACGAATATAAACTTTTTTGGTCGTAATCATTTAATGTTAAGTATTACTTTATCTTAAGTGTAAATGGTTTGCATTCATCTATATCTCTACGTAGGTATATTAAGTATTTGATATATTCGATTATTACGAATCTTTTTAAATTCATATAAATTAATGTATTGAATGATATTTTGTGCATTGTACTTGGATTATGTGCATATCTTATGTAGGTGTCTGATGCTCTAAAAGTTCTATGAGATAATTGGGCAACTGGTCAAATGAAAGAGGGTGCATGTGCTGTAAGAAGATGGGAGGATCTAGACACTAACATATTGGTGAAAATCTTCATGTGCTTTGATGTCTTGCAGTTGGCTTCAGGGATTGGTCACATTTGTAATTCATGGCGTTCAGCTTGCTATGATCCTCTACTTTGGAAAACTCTTGATTTGTCAATGTTGAGATCAAATTTCATCAAAATCTCATTAGAGCCATATGTTTACATGGATGAGTGTTCTAATAAGACATTGACTTGTTTGTTGAAGATTTCGTTGAGTCTCAGTTAGGGACACATAACAACCTTGATTTTTCACTTTAAATTGTATGTAGGGGATGAACAATTTACTTATATTGTTGAAAGGTAATTTTTTTATGTTTCTGTTTAAAACCTTGCTGAAAGGTAAATTTTTTTATTCTCACTGTTTATTGACTAAATCTTTGGCATTGCCTTTGGTACCAGTGATCATCATCTTTGATTTTCTTTTTGGTACAGTGAATTGGGAAGTAACCCACCAGATATTGTTGTCTGCAGGTGCCCCTAGCTGAGGCGTCTCGTTATGCCAGCTTGGAATAGAATAAAGAAGGATGTAATTTGGCATGTGCCAATGTACTCAAAGTGATGAAGGCTTTATGATGGTACAAGTATGAGGAAGGCCTATGGAAAATAGATGAGGCAAGGTCTCTTGCTCTTTGATTAGAACACTGAAGAGACTATAATTTTAACATTTTGTTTTGCTTTTATGTAATATCTACATAATATGTTGTTGACTAAGCATATATAGAATCGGTCCGTTGTGTTTTAGGTTGTCATCCTCCTAATGCTTTTGTTTTAGGTCGTCAACATTGTAATACTTGCATGATGATCTTCTCCCATGGGAAAAGTATTATATGTCTGCATAATTATGTACATATGGTAAAATTTCACTTTCTGTTGCTTCAAGTTGATCTTTTGTTGTCCATTAATGTTATTTCAAAATGAAGTGGTTTCAAAGTAATATGCAATTGAGTATTTTATCTGTTTCCAATTCATGTTATTTTATGTATGGAATCATTATTGAATTTGAGATTCTATTGATTTTGTAATTGTTAGTGTCAAATTCATTTCTATTGTCAAGTTTAGTATCTGATAGTGAGATTTTGAAGGAATCTTTGGTTTTCCCTTCTTTTATACTTTTATGTTAAGTTATAGTGACATTGTTCGGCTGAAGTGGTAATATTAAATTTTTACAGTGTGCTGTCGTTTTGGCTTTGTAAAATTTGTAAATGATGAAAAACGTTGTCGTTTAAAATGCTGTTGATATTTAAAGAAAATATGCGGATTTAATATTCAGTATTTGGGATTTAGGGTTTTCTCTATAAGTTTCGGCTTTAAAGGCATTTGTCCTAGTCCATTTATTGCATTTTCCATGTTCATATTTTCTCTTTGATTGAAATTGAGATAAGTAAAGTAAATTTTCTTTAGTTACAGTGACAATGTCATTTTTTATTTTACATTGGTATAATTAATTTGTCATCGATTTTAACTTTGATTAAAGTGCATGTTATTCTTATAGAGTTCTGAGATTTGTTATTATTGTTATAAGAAGTAGGGGTGGGATAAATAATTCGAAAACCAAACCAAACCGAAACCTAACAAAAAATTAGGTTTTTTTACAAACCGGTTCGGTTTTCGGTTTGAAAAAAATTTTAAACCAGTTTTACCCTAAATATAAAAGCAAAAAAATTATTATATATAAAATAATAAATATTTGAATTTAGGGACTTAAGTGAAACATTGAAGAATTTTAAGGATTAAAGGATAATTTGAAAAACGAACCGAAAATTCTGTTCGATTTACATTTGGTTTTTAACCGAAATCGATTCAGTTTTCGGTTTGGATAAACCAATTCGGTTAACCGGATTATCTCACCCCTAATAAGAAGTTGTTGTTAGATGGTTGTGCTGATAATTTGTTGTGCTTAGGTTGTTTATTGGCTTCTCTAGTAGTTGTGTTGCAGATTATTTTCTCGGTAAATTTACTGCTGAAATTGGTGTCTTTCTTACTACAATTTTGTTTGTTTAGGTCAAGTTTTTTATTTGTTGTTCTGGTAGTCGCGTTGCACACTATTTTCTTGGTAAATCTAGTACTGAAATTGGTGTTTTTCTCATAACGATTTTTATTATTATCTTGTTGTATTTAGTGTATATTGTAATGCTGTCGTTTTTTTATGAATTGATGTTATGAAATGCCAGTGGTAAAAATGCCTCAAAAGCTACCATCATTGTTATCGTCTAATTATCTATTTATTTTTTGGAATAGTTGCCAAGGTTTTGGTGTTCTCTATAGTACGTCTGAGATATTGTTATTTTAATTTGTGTCTCTATCACGTATCACGAAGAATAAATGTCTCCCAGGTAATAACAAAGTCTTACAATTTATATTAAGTTGAATGATTATCTGTTTTCTCTATTTTTATTTATTTGATGATATTATTTTTTCATTGTAGTAATGGCTCCTAAAAACTTGATAAAATTTATTCGAAGACTTGATTCTAAAGTTCTGTATAAAGGAGGATCAAGCAATGATTCCAAGTCAGAATTGTTAACACCTTTACAGACTCATGTTTTACCTGCTTCAGCCTCCAATTCTATGAAACCTTATTTTGGTTCCTGCCATGTTAAATTAATTGAAGAAGAAGATAATCAGTTAGAAAAAATTCCATTATATAAATTAGTGAAATGGCAGAAAGCTTGTCAGCAAGAGGGTTCAAATACGAATTCTAAACGAAAATGGAAAAATCTTTCTAAAGAAGAGCTAGACAGCAAAACATTCGGCCTAGGAAAGAGGTAACGTTTTTTCACTTTATCATGTGAATATAAAATCGAGTATATAATATATTCATTTATCTTGAAAAACGGTATTTCATTTTAAGGTAGATTTAATGATATATTTCAAAGACCCTAGGGTGTAAATGTCAATATTTAAAACATGAGGGAGTTCAGTTACACGATTGGGAGCAGACCAAGCAGGTTGAATTTCAAAATCAAGTACTAAACCAACCGTAGAGAAGAAGAAGAAACTCTTGAACTTCAATTCACCATTTCTTTTACACGGTCATTCCCCAGATGAAAAATTTAGGGTTTGGCTGGTGAAGCAATGTTGGGCGCCAGGTTTTCTCTGTTCGGTAGTGGCGGTGGCGGAGGCGGATCGTACAAGCCGGTGGATAATTCCCGAGACAGCGAAGTCTTGCCGAGGCTAAAACTACAAACAGATAAAGATGTGTACAGGCCTGGCGACTCCCTTTACATTACGATCGAGATCTGCAATCCTCTCAGTGACGATGCTTCTCTCTCTTCGTTATTGATTGAAAGCCTTGCATTTGAAATCAAAGGGATTGAGAAGTTGGATAGTCAGTGGTTCGCTACTCAGAAGCCACTTCCCGGATCCAAACAGAGAAGAGGTTTTCTTTTTAACTTTTTAACAAATTTATGGGATCTGGTTCTATTATAATGGATTAAGATGTTTAAATTGAATCGGGGTTTTCAGGTGAACATGTTTTCTTGGACAGTTCAGCTTCGTCATTGATTTCAAATCAGATTGTGTCATCTGGTGCCACAAAATCATGTAAGTTTTTTTTTCTTTTTTTCGCGTTCTGTTTAATTTTGGCATTAAATTTGTCTGTTTGTTAGATGTTTTGTTGACATGAATTCTCTCAAACCTTTAAGTACATTTCAAACTGGGTGTCATCTGGCTCTGCTATTTCTGTTATGATGAATTTTTAATTATGATCCAGTGAATGGATTTATAATTAGTATCTCTGAGACCACACTAAAGTCTATCTTAGATTAGAAACAGGACTTGTAACGAATATTAAATTTGTTAAACTTGATGATATTATTAGGACGAAGTGAAGGAGGTGTAAAATTGGGAAGATGAATTGATATGGTAAGAAAAATGAAACCAAGAACCAACAGGAAGACAAAAATTATCAAATGTGATTTCTACAACAATGTAGGAGCTTAATCATAGAAATATGTCACCACATTTGCCAAACCTGCTACAGGGATGTAAATCTAGATATATATTTAAGCTTAGATGATTCTTTCAGTCAACAATGACTAGCTTTTTTCTCCTGTGACAATAATTTATTACTTCAGTTAGTCATGTTATATATAGTAGGTGTCCAGCCTCACCAATTGTTTGGTCCTTGTTGGGCTTCCTTTTTGAAGGTCTAGAGATTGATTTTGATATGGTTTTCAGAGGTTACATCTCTTTGCATTATCTCCACTTTTTTATCTGGGCAAAGAGATTTGTTGATGCATTTTTAGATGCAGAAAAAAAATGCTGCAAGAGTTCTTAGAAAAGAATAAAAGTGGAGGGATGGTTGGAGATATGTAAATTACACTGTAGGTAGAAGTAATAGAAAAAAGGAAAATAACTACAGTCACATTGGGATTCGCATACAAAATTGGAATCTGACTAGCTAATCATAATTTCCAAAAAGTTGGTAGTTTAGAAGCTTTGTCCAATCTTGGTCAATGATTTGTAAAAGTTGGTGACAAACTGCTGTTTCTTTGCGACTGGTGTACGATTATTTGTTATGTTTCTTTATAATTCATGGCGTATCCAGTTCCTCAAATATATAAAAAATATCTACCTCTTTCATACTATATATTGGTTCAAGATAGTTAATTTGTTAGAACACTTTTGCTTATCTGCAGATGTTGTCCGGACTGAGTTGCCAAGCATTATACCACCCTCTTACCGAGGTACGACCATTCGCTACATGTACTATGTTAAGAGTTCGCTATCCGGACGGTGGCTGATACTGGAAAACGGGAACACTCATAGAGAGTCAATAAAAGATGTTACTGAAGTGGTTTGTTCTTGAAATTTTCTTATTCGCTATAGGCACTGCTGAAATGATTTTGGTTTGATTGCATTATCTTTTACATATGGATTGTGCACTGCTTCACCAAGGATCATTTTTTTGCGACTTTTTGTGCTCTGCTTTTGAAGTTTTTGTATTCTTCCGTGTTATTGACTTTTCTTCTGTTGGTTGTAGCCCCGTGATTGACTTTTCTGATAAACATTGTGCACCACGATTTTAATTAGCTTTTGGGAGTGAGGGCTATTCTTTATTTGCTAATAATGTCTGGTTATAACATGCTTTCTGTTAGGGTTGATCAGGTGTTCTCATTTACATTGTACATGTCGTGTGTTTTATGATACATGGTGTAATGTGATTATTTCTTTATAAAGATGATTATGGTTAATTGATATTTTGTTTCTCATTTCTTGTTGTTACAGACCTTTCTGATACTTTAGATATTGACAATATCTTTATTTACTTTTGACTTTTGGAGTCACTATTTTTTATTCTAATTTCATACTTTGTAAAAATATAAATTTTTGTATGTATGGATTTGCTTGGAACTCCTAAATTTCCTTACAGTAATGGAGGTGTGTTTTTAATTTCAACAGGAAGCTCGTATACCATTACAAATTTGGGTCACTCAGAAAAACAATGGCTTGCTAATGGAAGAAGGTCAACTTGAAGGTAAGCTGCTGTTCGGTTCCTTTTATACCAAATAGTTCCAGGATGTATTCAAAGTCATTACTATGATAGAGTTATCATGTCATTGTTTAATGCAACAACAATTATCTAGGAACTATTGACAGCCGATTATGAAGGGCGACTGAACTCAATATTCTTTGTTCTTCTGACTTGTTTTAATTTTTGCAAGTACTTTCTTATATGACCTAAAAGTTATGCATAATGGATTTTTTAATGTCAAAGGTTTTGACGGTTATTACATGCTGCTCAGCATGTTTCAGCAACAGGGTTAAGTCAATATTCAATCTTGTCACTCTACTGTTTGATTGTGGTCTGACTATAGCAACATGCTCGGATAATTATCTTTAATTGTTCTAATACACTGAGAAAGAATTTTCTTCTTTCTATGATTATAAGGGAAACATCTTAATAAACAGTTCTCTATACGTTTGTTAACAGAATTTTGAATTCTTGTACTAATGGATTTTATTTCTGAACTGCAAAGTGTCAGTCAAAGTTGTCCATCATTATTGCCCAAGTTGCATGCTTGATGGATAAAGTGATCGTGAGTTGGCTTAATTGAGTGTGGATGCACTTTGAAATTCTGGAAGCTTGTAAGGCTTCTCATTTAAGAATTGTTCCTGTGTACTAGGGTTTGCACCCTTGTGCTCCTGCTCTTCAATGTAAATTCTTACTAGTAGAGAAAAGAGGATAAGTACATAGTGGTTTGTACTTCAATTAGTTTATTTCCATATGAGCAAAGTTTTTCTGGCATCTGTATCTGGAATATTGTGTATCTGTATGGTAGTTAGCAAAAGATGATTTTTATTCTTCTTGTAAGTTGCTTGGTGGAAATAAGTCTTAAAATGGTAGTTTGAAAATGACGAAACCCTGCTATGCATATTATAGCACAGCCCAAAATGAGATTCTGTTACTTGATTCTCTGAATTTTCGGTGATACAGTATTAATATATGCAGCTGCATCCGTTATATTAAAAGAATGGCATATGAATTATGCTTGATATCTTCTCAATGGTTTCAGGAATTGTTCCTGTTACAACCATCCAAATGGATATATATTGGAAAGAGATGGATGGAGACTCTGAATGGGTGAGATGTTAGTGATTCTTATCTATGTATTGTATAATCATCTTTTTATCTTAAAAGCCTACTCATTTTTTGAGTAATTTAGAACCTTTATGATGGCATCTTCTTTTAAGCAATTCTTTTTGTTGACAGTTTGAAATTATGGCTACTCATTAAATTCGTTTTCTGACACAGGCTAGAGCAAATGAGATATATGATGGAGTTGAGGAAGGGTATGCAAGCTCCAGGGATGAGATCTCTTCTGTTTCTTCCTACAACCCCAGTAAAGAAAGCATGCTTAAAACTTTTGGAAGTTCATTGTCTTTGCAATCATCTACTGCAAGATCTTCGACCAAGGATATTCCAAATCTGGATGGAGAACGTCCAAGCTTATCTTCAAATGCAGCACTTCCTCGGCTATCAGCAGCAGAGGTGTTGTATGACTCTAGTGCAGGTCAGTGAGTTATATTTGAGACTCCTGACCATTAGGTTTATTGAGTCTCTCTCTCTCTCTCTCTCTCTCTCTCTCTCTTTCTTTCTCTCTCTTGAGTCCTGAAATAGTAATTACACTTCACATGTTTAGTTTATTTAAATGTATATGAAGTTTTCCTTGTGAATTATTCACCGTGCTCACCTAAGTAATGGAAAGTTTGTTATGTTATTAATTTGATTAGGAAGGAGAGCTTTTCTAACCATAGGCTATTTTTAAAAACAGATATCGTGTCATCAAGTGAACAGCAGAAGCTTACAGAACCCCTATCTGCTGATGATATCTCAGGATTATCACCTTCACCTCGATTACGAGCCATTGAACCTGCAGCATGTAAGCTCACTTCACTTATTTTTATTTCATTCTCTTAGGAATGCATCCCATTTATCTTGGATATGATTGTAACTTTTGTAATGCCTGAGAAGTATCCAAAGATGTGCCTTTTGCCTTCATGGTGTGTGATTTGTCGAAGAAGTGAAGAGACTGCAAATCATCTTTTTTTTCATTGAACTGGGGCTTCTAATTTGTGGCTAGAATATGCAAAATAGCCATAATAGCTTGGGTTAGCCCAGGTTCATGTGATGCAAAACTTTTGGAGCATATTTTGTTTTTGTAAAAGGAAAGAAAACCAAGACTACTTGTACATGTGCACTAGTTGCTCTCTTTTGGGCAAAACAGCTAGAAACAAACAACTATATTTTGAAGGGGAGAAACTGGAAATTGATGTAGGAAGAGTATAATTAGTCTAAGGTTATTGAGTCTTTGTTTGAATTATTTTAGGGATTTTGTCAAAGTATTTTTAGAGTTTAATTTTCGTTTGAGTTGTTTTAGGTTTAGGATTTATTTCTGATTTAATTAGGACTCAGATTCTGTTTCAAAGGCATCTATTGTTATTCGTGACATGGTTGATATATATATATATAGGAGATTGATTATGATATATGAATAACGGTTTTCTCTCCTCTGACTTCTCGGTTTCTTTCTTATGTCTCTAATTCTTCTAAATTTCCTTTCCCCCTTTTCTTGTTGTTCTCCCTAGTCTATTCTTCTATTTTCTCCAATTTTTCTATAATCTATTTTGTGCTTCTTCTGGTTCTCTATTTCTCTATCAAAAACAGTTGTAGTTTGTGGGGAGAAATTTGGCTTTATGCTTCACTTTGGACTCCGACCTTAATCAGGAAGGAGTATTGGGTAATTTTGTATAGATAATTTTCTTTTTGACCAGGGAGAGGTTGTTATGATTGGTGTTTCTGGGCTGTCTTTGTGTAGGGTGGATGCTCTTCCTTAGAATTTTTGTCTTCAATGTGAGCTGTTGGTTCATACTAGTATCTTCTTTTAAATCATTATTAATGCCTTTCCCTTAGTTTACAATGGAGGAACAAACAATTGTTTTTTGTAATAAATTGTGTAAACTTATTTGCTGCAAACATTTTCCGCAGCAGAAGGCTTTATTCGAGGAAGGTCTTATAACATCAGGATGGATGACCAAGTTGTGCTAAGATTTTCTCCAAAGAACTCGGATTCAACTTATTACTTCAGTGATATGGTAATGACAATTTTAAACGACTCTTTGCATAATTCAACGTTCTTTCCTTCTTTCCCCCAGTACGTTTTGTTGAACTGTTATGGTGACAGATAGGTGGAACTCTTACTTTCTTTCATGAAGGAGCTCGGAGATGCCTTGAGGTAACTTTATACTACAAGCAATGGAAAATTACCATAAGAAATAAAGACTTACTGAGGTTTAATTGACCTTTTAACCAGCATGTTTGGTGCCTTGCAGGTTTCAATAACATTGGAAACTTCAGAGACCATAAGCCGGCGTTTTGTTCATCCTTCTCGAAGAAACTCACCAACAATTACGAAGGTGTACTTTCGATTCTCACTTTTAACATTTAGCAATTTGGTAAATTAGAGTAATACCCATTTTGTAATAATTGTTGAATATTATTCCAGAACCCATTGGTTTGCCTTATAAATATTCCTCATTAAATGAGTTGTCAAACTTCGATGAAAAATCATGGGAATTAGCCACCCCAAAAAAAAAAAAAAAAAAAAAACCCTTAACTTTTATAAATATATAGGCATTATAATTTCATTGATGGCATGTTTGGTGGACCATTCCAACAGATTCAGAGTGATCACCATGAGGTTGTTGCAGACTTGGTGCAGACAAGCTTTCTTTTTTCTATTCCCATGGATGGGCCCATGTCCTTTTCCACTCCTCACGTCTCTGTGCAGTGGGTTCTACGATTTGAATTTCTTACAACTCCAAAGCATGTAAACTGGTCCAGGTATTATTACTAAATAGTATCAACATTATATCATCTTACATTGTCTTTATTTAAATAAACATTGCAAAGGTTTTCTTTGTTTAGGTTTGATTGTTGGGAGGTTAGGGCTGATTTTTTGTCTTTTTTGATGATAAAAGTTTTTCGGCCATCTGTTTCTTGTTTTCTCAATCTTGTCCTTCCTTAGTCGACTGCCTCTTCTCTTTATTATGGCTCTTATTATTAATACATCTTTCATAATCTTATCCGTAAAAGTGATAACTTTGAATCTGAGGTGGGCAAGTTTGATCTGATGTAATTTAGCGAGATCGTACTTACTAGAAAACTGTCAGAATACTGCAACTGCCAGAGCAAAGAGATGCCAAAGTGTGAGAAGATTGAAAACTTTAATAGGAGAGTTTAGTGTACCAAATCAATAACAAAGTTAATTTTTTTTTCTGTCCTTGCAATTTTTCTATGATCACAATGGTGGTTCTTGTAATTCCTTGCTAATAGAGATGCAAAATCAAAGGGAAAAAATTTTCCTTAATTATTCTAATAAACAAATATTTTTCTTTGTACTTAAAGTGGTAGTAATTCTGGGTATGTGAAAGTCGGATTCATCAATTTAAGATGCTTAATGGTTGTGATGAGTAGACATTATAGTTGTATGGCTAGAGGACGGTAGGTTTGCTGAGTTTTTGATTGCCACTAGTTTTCGCAGAACCAGCATTTTATCTCACAATAACTTGATTTTGGTGCATTGGTTAAATATTTTTATTTAATGTATATAATGGGATTTTTAATTTCAGATATGAGCATCCTCTTCTTATAGAAGGTAGAGACAAAAGTGAGTGGATTCTTCCTATAACGGTGCATGCACCTCCCCCCGGGGCTGCAGCTGCTTACAAGAAGCCTTTCTCTTTGGAACCTTTGTGGGTGCGCACTTGAAGGTGAAACTGAATCTTTGATCTATAAATTTTATGACTTTGTAATAGTGATTTATAGAATAACTTATTTTGTGAAATTTGCATATTTGAAATTCATTAACAATGTGATGCTTGTGCTTTGTGTTATGGTTTCTTGAAACTCTGAATAATGAGATTGATTCGATGTTTACTTTTGTGTTGGTGATTATAGATGTTTTAGAGCAAGCTGCAAGGGTGAAACAGAGAGAACAATACTGGTGCTATTTCTGAGGTACATCGTACATACGGTCTATACAGTGAGGAACTATAAGGAGTTAGCAGTAATTTGGGTTTATGTTGCCATGCGTATGAATGCGACATGCATTAAAAACAGCACTCTTTTGCTCGGGATATGCATCATCCTAATGGCATATTCGAATGTGCTTGTGAGGATTAGTGGAATTTGCTAATTTCTCATAGTTGTAAAATATGACCTCGTAAATTTCAATTTATGAGTTTATATTTTTTTTTTTTATTTGAATTAGTGAGTAATAAATTGGAGAGTATAGTCCTTGAAATAGGAAATGGAGTATTGTTTTGTTTAATTTTTTGGTAAAGCAAACTTGTCGACATGTTTTGAGCAACGTTTTAATAACCAACCTGGGGTGAAACCCGACAAAGTTGTCAGGTCCCGGGTTGACCGGCCGATCAAATCAGGTGGCCAAAAGTTTAAAATTTAGCAAATACACTCCTAAAAATTAAGTTAAGTTTTTACATTTTTGAAATTTACAAATACACCCTAAATATAAATTGGCAACTAGTTGGCGACGATGACACCAAATGCAATCTCAATCATTCCCCAAGTCATTCCCTAGAAAACTGATTTCAGTTAGATCTCACCACTGCTAGCATCGACAACCCAGGCTAGATTTCACCACAATTGGCGTCAACAACCCTCTCCCATCACCGCAAAAATATTCCTCTCAACCTTTTGACTAAAACCCATCACACCCCACCCCCATTCGTCTCGCCAATCGTCAGTAAAAGTCGGTTGTTGTCGGTGCAAATTTTTTCAATTTCCGATCGATTCATTCATTGAAAATCACCTATATCGTCACCATTGCACTTATTGATCCTGCTGCCGACGCAAGTTTTTTCGATTCACAATCGATTTACTCACTAGAAATCACCCATGTCGCCACCATTGCACTCATCGACCCTTCCTTTTCAAAAACACCAACATCTCGGCTTTCAATTGTTCGTCGATCACCGTTCCAATTTCTAGGGTTTTCAGTTAATAAGAAAATTGCTAACCCGACCTAGTGAATGCCTCAAGTCCTGGTTCAACCGGTCAGGTCGGTTGGGTTTTAAAACATTGGTTTTGAGGGTCAATTTAGTTGGCAGTGGCCGAAAGACAAAATTCTTGTAAATTGACAAATTTAATGGGTTATTTTGTCATTAAAAAATGTATTTGTTAAATAATTTGGTATGGTTGGACAGATTCATGGAAGAAGTTGTAGTCAGTGTGCTTAGTTCAGTTGCGTATCTTTAGATTCTTTACATGGTTGGTAAGAAATTTCGTTCTTAACCCTTCAAAACTACAATTTGTGCAATAAAAATATATAGTTATAAAAAAGAGTCAAATGTAAAATGTCTTTCAAATTAAATTTTAGAATCAAAGAAATGGTTTATGCAATAGAGAGAAATAGAAAAAGAAAATGTGATGTGAAGAAATATTATTAAAGATTGTATTTGTTTTTTTTTTTTTGAAATTCAAGATTATGATTTGTAGTTTACTCGGGAAATATGGGTTGTCAAGCAATTTAAATTAGAGTTGATTACCAAGTATTCACAAGTAATAGAAGTCCAATTAGCACTCAATTTTGAGTTAGAATAATGTTAAACGTGTATAACATCCTAAATTTTAATCAAAATATTGCCTCTCTCTCTCTCTCTCTCTCTCTCTATATATATATATATATAGCATAAATCTACTATCAAATGAAACCTATCAAATAGTTGAATCGAAAACATATATACATATAAAATAAAATAGCCATATGTAGGAGTGTTCGGTTCCAAGTACGCTACATTTCTTGAAGGAACCGGAACCGGAACCGAAACTGACGGTTCCTTGAAATTTGGAACAGAACTGGAACTGATGGTTTCGGTTCCTAGGTACCCAAAACCGGAACCTATAATAACGATTCCAGTTCCAGTTCTGGATACCCTGTAAAATTACAATGACCTCCCAAAAGTTTTTAAAATGTCAAAAAAACACTTAAAAACTTACAAATATCCCTCCACATGACACTTGTTAACAAAAATAAAATTACAAATTATAAATTCAAAATTATAAATTCCATTACTTTGTAAAAGTAGATTCTCAAAAGTCAAACCAACTTACTTTAAATGTTATGAAATATAAATATAAATGTATTCACATTCCTTTTTCTACAAAAGTTTTTATTAACCCCCCTAAACTTTAATTTTATTTTATATTAGTCTCGGTTCCTGGTTTTGGTTCCAAATATCCATCATTCTTATGCATTACAAACTTGAAGACTATTCTAACACTCAACAACTATTATTTTGATGCACATATTTACTTGGACATGTTTTCTAATAGCAATTTATTTATTAAATTTGTGTTCGAAAGAATAATAGTAAAACCATCTACCCTAGTTAGTAAATACGAGTACAACAAAAAAATGTACGGGAATTTTACAGGTATGATACGGTAAACGGTGAAAAATATGTTTGTAAAAATTCGATCATAAAATTTGGATACATGAAAAATACGGTACATGTGTATACGAGTTTAATATGGCATATTGTCAATAATACGATTTGAAAAATACGACAATATTAATCTTGATTTTAACACTTTTCATAATCATTGAATTAATCCTCATTTGTTTTTCCTTATAGGTGTATGATTTATGTCTTTTTAAATTATAATATTTCAATTTGTAAAAAGTTGTATCATTTGATTCGTAATTAATTACTACAAATGTTGTAGAAGTGAACTTGTCCACTAAAATCTGAAAAATCATTTTAGTCTCTATAAGAGCATCTCCAATTATGCTCTTTATTTTGAAGAGCATCTTTCATGTAAATATATATATATTTTTTTTTTTTTAAATGTAAAGAACACAATTTTTATTCAAATCTAATAGACTCTTTAAATTTAATGAAGATGCTATTTATTTTTAAGAAAGAAACTTAATGGGAGAGAGAATTAATAAATAAAATGCATAGGAACTTGTAGTTTATTAATTAAAATTATGATAGAGAATGAAATTTGATTTTCTAAATTTGGAGAATCAAACTCACTCTCTAATTTATATTTTAAAGATAAACAGTCTGTTGAACTCTTATTTTTATGGATAGACTCTTTATAATAAAGGGTTTAAATCATATAAAGAGTTATTTGGAGATGCTCTAAGACTGCTGCCGCCTACTGTTAGGGAATTTTAGAATGTGTTAATGCTTTTGAAAGCAAATGTCCAATGTACCCCCCGATTTCTCATATTAGGAAGACTAAATACAAAATAAAAAACTAAGGCGGTAGAGATTAATATAACAAAGCAATAATGAATAAAATGAAAAATAAAATGAACAGGATTTGTAAAAAATTGAAACATTTTCACAACTAAGACTAAAAATTAAATATTTTAAATAAAAATTTCTACCTTAAAAAAAAATTTCATGCATTATCAAGCATCAAGATAATAATAATAAAAAAAAAAACCCGAAAAATCATTCAAATCCAAAACCCAAAACTACAAAACAGTAATTCAACCCTAATAAAGCCGCCACCATTGCACCACCAACAAAGCCACCAAAAAATTGAAGAACCAACTTGCTTAAAACCCAGTTAACGCATGAAACCACCACCACGGCAAGACCACTATGACAGCCTCCATCACCATTACAAACACCAAAAATGGGTTGGTGAGGGATGGTGGGGTGTATGGGACGAAGAGAACTAAAGAAGTTGAAGAAGAAGGGAGGAAGAGGGCGCCAAAAAATAGAATAAGAGAATTGAAGAAGAGAAAGCTATTTCATTTCATTTGAGTTTTGACCAAACTTTGTGTAAAACGACGGCGTTTTGGTTAATTAAAAAACAAAATTCTATTTAAAAAAATATGGCGGAATTATATGATAATTAATTAATTATACGCGAATTATATGGTTAAGATATATAATTCACGTATAATTTAACTGTGCTTATAGAATACGGAAATTCGTGTTTTACAAACATATGTATGTATGTGACGTTACATGGCTAACATGAAAGGCGTTGGAATCAATTAATAAATTCGAAATTTGATACCAGACTATGCAAAAATAAAATCTTAAAAGTGAGATTTTTTATTTTACGAGATTTTGTTATATAAATTCCAATGAGAGAATTCTTTGAAATTATACTTTCAACCGTATGTTGATGGTTTACGTTGACAAATTGATAGGCAAATAACATACATGTATGGTGGTTCCTTTTATTTCTATTTGCATTGACTCTTATTGTATTTATTATATATTGTATTATAAGATTAATAGTAATATTACACTTCCAAACCCTACTTACTCATTTTGAAGTTTTTTATATTTTGTTATTATTATAATTTTTTAAAACCATATGTTATAAGTTTTACTTGGTGTGAAATTGTAGACTTTGTCGTCGAATTCCTCAAATCATTCTAAGCTTGAACCTGTTAAAATTTATTAACATGGGGATGTTTTAAATTTTAGGCTAGGATAATAATGTCATCCCTCATTACAAATATATTATAAGCTTTCAGGTTTGTCAACAGAAACTAAAAGAAGAAAAATAATTACGTTAATCACAAAAATAACGCTATTTTCTTTTATCTATTTTTAAAATAATATTTTCTTATGCTTAATCAATCTCGGTATTTCATAATATATTTATTTATTCATACTCCCCGTTTTAATTAATAAATGATTGATTTAAACTCATTTAATTACATATTTCAATTTTTATTAGTTACATAGTTGCCTGAATTTTTTTTTTAAATTTGTCGTATTGGATGACGTTATCATACTGGTGCAATGACGTCATCAAGAAGTCGGACCGGTTAAACCGGTCGACCCGAGACCCGGTAATTGGGTCGGGTTTCATCCCGGGCCGGTTATTAAAAATATTGTCAAAAACCCTAAACCTCCACCGTTTCGCATAAATAAGCTTGCTTTGCCGCTCCATTCTTCGCACTCTCGTTCTCAAAACCCTACAACCTCCAAAATATCTCGGAACTAGGGTTTTGTGTTATTCCTTTTTTTCTCTTTCACAACCTCTCAAGTTTTCTCTTTCAACACCTCTCATATTTTCTTTTCTATTCTGACATGGGAAAGTCTAGCAAGAAATCTGCTACCAAAGTATGCGCCTCTCGTTTTTCTTTGTTCGTTTCATTGTCTGGCTTTAATGTTGATTCTTGGTTTTGTAGGTCAACTTTGTTTGTTTCGTTTTAATTAGTTTATTTATTCATTTGTTTTTCGTTTTTGTAGGTTGATGTTGCTCCTGTTGCGGTAGCTCCTACAAAGTCGGCGAAGAAAGGTTATTTTGTTTGCTTTTTATTTTTATTTGTTTTTGGTTTTGATCATGTGGGTTAACTCCTTTATTCTAACAGTAAAAATAATAGGAATTCCTTAGGTACATGTATACTGTGTATGGTGTAATGGTTTGCCGAGGAGACGTTCTAGATGTGCTTAGAAAAAATATTTTTTTGAGATTTATTTAAGAATTATTATGTAACGGAAGTTTAAAAATAAATGGGTTATATTTGAGTGATTTAATAACATTGTCATTCGTGTGTTGTTAATATATATTTTTGGTGTTCTTTTATGAATACAGGTGTCAAGAGAGAAGCTGAAGATGCAATTAAGGAGAAGCCAGTGATTTCAAAGAAGCAGAAAGGAAATGACGGGGTAGCTCAGGCTGTTAAGAAGGAGAAAGCTCAAGCTAAGACACTGAAGAAAATAAAGAAAGAGGAAACCAGTAGTTCAGATGAGGATTCTTCGGATTCTGAGGAAGAACAGGTGGTGCACTTATTTAAGTAGTGTTTTGATTGATTTTCTTTATTACTTTAATTTATGTTTTGCTTATTGGGATTTTGGCTCGGTCACATTAGTTGATGTTATTCACACAGGATGTGTTTCTGTATAGTTCCAATCTGCATAAATGTACTTACTGATATCATTTAATATACAAAAAGTTGACTTGTTTATTTATTTTATGTTATTTTAATTGGGGATGCAATATATTTAATCCGTTCTCAATTTTTGATATCAGGTTAAAGTTGTGGCCAAGAAGGGAGTTAATGTTGCAAAACCCCCTGTCAAAGACTCCAGTAGTGAAGATGATGATTCATCTTCTGATGAAGTGAGTCGTTATTAGAATCCTTTTCTTTTCTTATGTTATATCAGTTTGTATGAAATAATCACTAAATGATTCATTTATTTAATTTTCATTTGGAAGGAACCCCCAAAGAAGCCAGTAGCTGCCAAAAATGGCTCTGTTGTTGCCCCTGCCAAGAAAAGCAAGCCTGCTAGCAGCAGTTCAGATTCCTCTGACGATGATTCTGATGAGGTGTGTATGCAAGTTATAGTGGGACAATGTTGAGGACAAGTGTTCGGGGTTTTTCTTCTGGTTAATTGTAGATAGCTCTAGGCCTTACTATATAAGTAATTGGTCATTTGATTTTATAATCTTATGATTTCTCTTTGTTCCTTCTCTTTTCTTTTAACTTTTTGATTTCAGTATATTATAAATTGGAAAAAAACTAATTTTTTTTTTGTCTTGTTTATTTTCCATGAGAAGGAACCTCCAAAGAAGCAGGCAGTGGCTGCCAAGAAACCAGCTGTTGCTGCCCCTGCTAAGAAAAGCAAGCCTGATAGTAGCTCGGATTCCTCAGATGATTCTGACTCTGATGAGGTAAGTGTGCAAGTTAGATTTGGGCAGTGTCAGGAACATTTGGTATTTGTTAGTTTATTGGTTGCTGTATCTCAAAAATCTGATTGTCATGTGCTAAATATATTCGGTCTTATGTTTTAGGATCCTAAAGCCAAGGTAACAGCATCATCAGCTGGAGCTAAAAATGGCGCTTCTGCTCCTCCAAAGAAGAAAGGTACATCAAGTGACAGTTCAGATGAGGAATCAGATGATAGCTCAGATGAGGATGTGAGTGATGGCTTATCATATATCTTTTATTGTTCATTTGATAAAATGTATTTATGTTATTTGACTGTTAATAAAACTACTTTTACTTGCATTTAGAAGAAGGTTCATGTGATTTTTTGGACTTTGATATTTCCCAAGATGAGGAAATATAGGGATTTCACTTCTTTGTTTTTATTAATTTTCTTTTTATTTTATTTTGTTTTTGGTTTAGATAACTCTCTAAAAAAAACTAAATGGCTTTGTAAACTGAACTGTTGTGGAACATTTTTTTTTTTTTTTCAGATTCTTATTATTACAACTGAAGCTAACAAGTTATAATGTTATGCAGGATAAATCTGCCAAAGTGACTACCCAACCAAAAAAATTGCCAGTATCTGCTGCGAAGAATGGGTCTGTTGCTGCTAAGAAATCAAGTGATAGTTCAGACGATGATACTTCAAGGTCTGAAGATTCTTCGGATTCTGATGATGAGAATGTGAGTATTGGGAAATTCTCTATATATAAACTTGTAATTCTATTGACTTGAAATATGCCATTGCCTGCTGCGGGTAAAAGAAAACCCCTTAAATTGTGAGATTATGTAGAATTTTGGATTGCCCAATTGCCAAACTTATACTGATGACAGTATCTGAACGAATTTTAGTCTTTTCTTATTGGTATGTAATATGATACTGTTTATGGTTGTAGGGAGCCCCTGCAAAGGCTTCAGAAGCCAAGAAGGTTCCAGTTGCTAAGAATGTTACTGCTGCTGCTCCCAAGAAAAAAGCTGAATCAAGTGATAGCTCTGATGAGGATACTGATGATAGTAGTGATGAAGATGAGGTTTGAATCTTTTAATTCTAATTTTGTTCTAATTTTTCTAAGGTCTGGTTTCTTTTCAGTTTTAACTTGAAACATTCACTCTCTTTGAGAATGTCTAGAAATCAGTTGTGAAGAAAGGATCTGTTGCAGCTCCCAAGAAAAAGAAGTCCACCAGTAGCTCGTCTGAAGATAGTGAGGAAGAGGTATCTTTTCACATCACTCTTTTATTTAAAATCAATTGCTAGCAAGTCAACTAAATATATTTTATGTAAACATCTCAGCTAAAAGCATTTTTCTTTCTTCTTAAAGTTGCAATATTAATAAGCCCTTGTACCTCCTGATTTGCTTTGCTCTTGTTACCCTTGGTGTCTGATGTTTTAGTTCTTATTTCCCAGTTGTTCAACTTACAATGTCAATTTGGTAGAAGTTAAACTAAGAAAATTCATTTAATAATTTCATTTTTGAAGTGTGTTCTCTTTGGTGTCTCTTTACATAGTCATATTCAGTGCTCATCTTTATTTTCCTGTAACACTACAGAAAAAGATGGATGCTGATAGTAGTTCCGATGAGGAAAGTGATGATGAGCCTCAGAAGAAAAAGGTGAATGCTTTGTTGATAACTTTAATTGAAACTTTCTTTTCTTCTAATATTTGTAAATTAGCTTATTCAAATTCCTGTTCTGCAGCCCACTGTAACTGCGAATAATGCTAAAACTGTTAAAAAGGAAAGTAGTAGTGATGAGGATGATGAAGATGATGAAGATGAAAGTGAGGAGGAAGAAGCAGCCAAGACTCCAAAGAAAAAGGTAAATTCATTTTCTTCAGTTATTATTATTGCAAATAACACAATTTGGAATTGTTATTGAATAAATTTGACTGATTGTTTATGCATACATATGGTCTTGGCTTGGTTTGCAGTGTTGAATGTTCACTTTCATTTTATTGTGTTTGAATCAGTTTTGGGAATGCTTTTANAGTTCAGACGATGATACTTCAAGGTCTGAAGATTCTTCGGATTCTGATGATGAGAATGTGAGTATTGGGAAATTCTCTATATATAAACTTGTAATTCTATTGACTTGAAATATGCCATTGCCTGCTGCGGGTAAAAGAAAACCCCTTAAATTGTGAGATTATGTAGATGCATGTAGAATTTTGGATTGTTGATTGCCCAATTGCCAAACTTATACTGATGACAGTATCTGAACGAATTTTAGTCTTTTCTTATTGGTATGTAATATGATACTGTTTATGGTTGTAGGGAGCCCCTGCAAAGGCTTCAGATGCCAAGAAGGTTCCAGTTGCTAAGAATGTTACTGCTGCTGCTCCCAAGAAAAAAGCTGAATCAAGTGATAGCTCTGATGAGGATACTGATGATAGTAGTGATGAAGATGAGGTTTGAATCTTTTAATTCTAATTTTGTTCTAATTTTTCTAAGGTCTGGTTTCTTTTCAGTTTTAACTTGAAACATTCACTCTCTTTGAGAATGTCTAGAAATCAGTTGTGAAGAAAGGATCTGTTGCAGCTCCCAAGAAAAAGAAGTCCACCAGTAGCTCGTCTGAAGATAGTGAGGAAGAGGTATCTTTTCACATCACTCTTTTATTTAAAATCAATTGCTAGCAAGTCAACTAAATATATTTTATGTAAACATCTCAGCTAAAAGCATTTTTCTTTCTTCTTAAAGTTGCAATATTAATAGGCCCTTGTACCTCCTGATTTGCTTTACTCTTGTTACCCTTGGTGTCTGATGTTTAAGTTCTTATTTCCCAGTTGTTCAACTTACAATGTCAATTTGGTAGAAGTTAAACTAAGAAAATTCATTTAATAATTTCATTTTTGAAGTGTGTTCTCTTTGGTGTCTCTTTACATAGTCATATTCAGTGCTCATCTTTATTTTCCTGTAACACTACAGAAAAAGATGGATGCTGATAGTAGTTCCGATGAGGAAATTGATGATGAGCCTCAGAAGAAAAAGGTGAATGCTTTGTTGATAACTTTAATTGAAACTTTCTTTTCTTCTAATATTTGTAAATTAGCTTATTCAAATTCCTGTTCTGCAGCCCACTGTAACTGCGAATAATGCTAAAACTGTTAAAAAGGAAAGTAGTAGTGATGAGGATGATGAAGATGATGAAGATGAAAGTGAGGAGGAAGAAGCAGCCAAGACTCCAAAGAAAAAGGTAAATTCATTTTCTTCAGTTATTATTATTGCAAATAACACAATTTGGAATTGTTATTGAATAAATTTGACTGATTGTTTATGCATACATATGGTCTTGGCTTGGTTTGCAGTGTTGAATGTTCACTTTCATTTTATTGTGTTTGAATCAGTTTTGGGAATGCTTTTAATTTTTATGGATCAAACTATTTTACTAGATACTTAATGCACTTTAAGGCTGTGCTTTTTCATCAGTTATAGTCTCATGAATGATCTAATTTTTACTGCTTTTGACCTTAATATTAAATAAGTGCCTGCCTTTCTAACATGGTTTTTATGGGGAACAGGACGCTGATGTAGAAATGGTAGATGCTGATTCTGGAAAGAAAGCTGTAATCCTCTATTCTGCCTTTTCTATTTTTATTTATTTATTTATTTATTTTTTTGTGATATTTGTCACAAAGTGGCTGTCCTGTTTGAACTAAAAATATCTTCTATTATACAGCCCCAAACTCCCTTTTCTCCTCAAGGTCAATCAACTGGTTCGAAAACATTGTTTGTTGGCAATCTACCTTTCCAAGTTGAACAAGCTGATATGTATGTCTTTCTGGCTTCCTTTTAAGCTAGGATCTTAGGTTGACTTTCGTATATGATAAGATGAATTTAGTCATTTTAATTTTATTCTGTCTGATTAGATGAATTTACTCCTGCAGAGTACATTTCTTTAAGGATGCTGGGGAGGTAGCTGATGTCCGTTTGGCATCAGATGCTGATGGGAGATTTAAAGGCTTTGGACATGTTGAATTTTCTACAGCAGAAGCTGCAAGTAAAGTAAGTCACTGTCAAGTTTAGACATGAGTACTTGGACTTGCAAACAATGTTTTTTGTTATTTGAATTTGTAATCTCTTCAAGTTATCTGCAAACTCTCATTCTATGCGTTGGTAATTGTAACTTCACAGCTGATATTCTTATGCATCTTTTAATGTTTATGGGTTAAAAAAAAGTGGTTTCAGTCGTTAAGCTGACATGTTAAATAATCATTTGACATTATATAGCTTTTCTTTATTTATCTTATGGCTCAAGTTTATGTACTCAATGCTTTATGATGCTTCTTGTTAACTGTTACCTTGCTCTTTTCACTGCAGGCTCTTGAGTTGAATGGCCAAATGTTGGGTAATCGTGAAGTTAGGCTTGATTTGGCTCGTGAAAGGGGCTCATATACAACACCTTATAGCGGGTATTGCGTCAGCTATGCATACAGGTTCTTCTAGCTCAGCTGGTGTAGTAAATATGTTGTACTAAACTTTTAATTGCGAATCTTTGCAGCAAAGAAACCAACTCATTCCAGAAGGGAGGGAACGGTCAGGCCCCAACAATATTTGTCAGGGGTTTTGATTCATCACTTGGAGAAGATGGGGTAATTTTTTCTGTTGAATTTGCTGCTTTTTTTTTTTTTTGGGTAATTTTTATGTTTTAAAAAAATGCTGGCAAATTTTTTTCTTACCGGTTTTTGTAATTTTGTTAATGGCTGAATCTGAATCTTACAGGTTAGGAGTGCCCTGGAAGAACATTTTGGTTCTTGTGGGGAGGTTTCAAGGATTTCCATTCCTCAAGATTACAACACTGGTGGTGTTAAGGGGTTTGTACTTCAATTTGTATCCATGGTTTCCTTTAACATTGTAATCAATGATTAATAGGACCATTTATTATGATATTGATTCTCTTTGATGTGGTGCATATATGCTGGTCGTAGTATCTAAAGCTGAGATTATCATATGAATTGCAGGATTGCTTACATGGACTTCACGGATAGCAGTAGTTTCAACAAAGCCCTAGAAATGAATGGATCTGAACTTGGTGGGTATTCTTTGGTTGTGGAAGAGGCAAGACCAAGGGGTGATGGCTCAGGCAGTGCCCGAGGTGGCGGCCGCAGTGGTGGGAGAAGTGGTGGTAGAGATAGTGGTGGTCGGTTTGGTGGTGGTCGGTTTGGTGGTAGAGATAGTGGTGGTCGGTTTGGTGGTAGAGATAGTGGTGGTCGGTTTGGTGGTAGAGATAGTGGTGGTCGTTTTGGTGGTAGAGGACGTGGAGGTGGCCGAGGTGGTGGTAGAGGACGTGGAACGCCTAATAGGCCAAGCATGGCTGCTGCTGGCACAGGCATGTATCTTCTATTTTCTATTTATTACCCAAGTTGGTTTTGTTTGTTGTTTAGAATATTCACTCCTCTTCACCACTTAATCTTTAGCTTGGGTTCACACCTCATAAATTAATCTTTAGAAAATGTTTTTTAAGTTGAGCACACATTTCATTCTGTTAGGGACACTTGTGACTATCCTTATATTATTCGATGGAAATGTGTTTGCCATTAAAGTGTGTGCAACTGTTTTTTTTTTTTTTTTTTTTTTTTTTAATTCCATTTTTGTCCAGATGTTAGTATCCATTCAGCATTTGTTTGTATAATTGGATGTGGCAAACACTTATTTTACGTTCTCTAATGAAACATTTTATGCCATTTTTTACTAATGCAGGGAAGAAGACAACTTTCAACAACGACGATTAGTAAAGCATTGAGGAAGACAGTTTTTCTTTTTTGGCAAGTTTTTTAATTTTATGAAGTGTTAGTATGATTGCTTTTTTTGATAGTCTAGTAGAATATTTTGAGCTGTAAGAATTCCAAGTAGTTTTGTTGTGTCAGATATTATGTTTTAAGTGGCATATATGTTTCTTATTGAGCTATTAGAACCTATTATTAATTTATCACAAAGTTGTCCAATGGTGATCTACTATTTTTCAAAGCTTCCCCCTGTGGATTTTGATACTGGGTTGTGTCATACTCATATCTCCTATGGCTAAGCTGAGGATCAACTTCAGTGCCAAAATTCTTCATTCTTTACCGCATGAAATCCCCACAAACACCCATCATTCTGCACTGAGAAATGAAATCTCAACAAATACCAATCAGTTTGCACTAAAATTGCAGGTATTTCAAGCTTCATCTTTGTAATAAAGTGTACTTGTTATGCAGAATAAAATAAACAAGAAATTTACCAATTTGAGTTCAATCTCAATAAAACGCCTACACAACTGTGAACCAAAATAAATTCTCAGATTGGAAAATTTTGGGATAACATTAGCAAAACCGTTGTTTTTCTTCACTTTTTTGTGCATAGTACAGTTATCATATAAAGAAAATTTACATATGAAAAGGAAAGAAGAGAATGAACACACTTGGAGATTTCTGCTTTGTTTCTATATGCACATTTGAATTAGGGTTTTTCCCTTGAAATGTCAATTGTATTTGTATCCGAGAACCGAGACCTTAGCTTGCGGGCCACCTTGAACATAAACAAATTTGTATTCTGAGCCAGCTTTCAAGACCTTTTGCCATTGCGGGAGTTCATAAGTGTTCTTTTCTTGTGTTGGAGAGAGTCCCCATAGAGACCCTGATAAGTTTTCGATGCTAAGTTTAAGGTTTGTGACTGGCTTTTGCGACTTATTCTTGATTATCACCCTGTGTCTGTAATAGGTTGTTTCACCAACTGTCCATGTAGTTGTTATTGAGTGAAGAAATTCAACTGGAACTTCTGCATCAGAGTTTGTGTTTGGTGCTGCTGTTTCTTCATATGAATCTGATTAGAGTTTACAAAGAGATGTCAATACCACTATTTATTTGAATCAAAGAGAACCAACAAAGAACAAACAATTTAAAAAAATGCTCACTTAGAGATGTTTGGTAGGGTGATGATGATTCTTTGTGATATGGTCCTGCGAAAATTCCCAGCAGGTCAAATTAATATGTGCAAAAAGTAGCATGTTAAATCCGATTGTACTAAGTTAAAGATGCCGAAGACAAAACCTTACCTTTGGTTTTGGATGATGAAGCATGTAGCTTAGAGAATAGGCCTAAAAGAGGAGCAGAGCCAGAAAGTGTAGGCTCAGTTTCTTCATAATTGGGCCTATCATCGGAGAAGTTATCGTTCTGATCAGGACCCCCAACAAGTGCTCCGTATAGCACATTAGGATTTGGCTGAGGGCGGTAGTACCATGACTCAAATCCTTGCACACATCCAACCGCTGAATGGACGGTATATACAGAAGGAATGGAAGCACCTCTATGGTGAATATGGACTGGGTATTTTGGTCCAAATCCAACTAAGTAGCTCATTGACTTGGGGTTTTTACCAAGAATGTAGTCAGCCTGTAATCACATCAATTAACAAGTTAAAATACAAGCATTTTATGACAAAATCTTGTCATAATATGTAAAAAATTTAAGAAAAGGTTTCTTGTATATACATACCTGTGACTTTGCGAAATTGAAGAGCTCCAGAGGTTGAATTTGGCCATCTGGGCAAGTGAGTTTGGCATTTGCAGCAGAGAGGTAATCAGAATAGACAGCAGTAAGAAATGCAGCAGCAGAGGCATACTGCATATTGTTCCATTCGCGCACGTATATTAAGCCCCCTGGTGAAGGAACAAAACCAACTCAGCCATTATATTGAACAAGACAAAATATTTTTGCAAATTAAACTCCAAATAGAATCTTTAGCAGTGACTACTAACCAGGAGTTAAGTGGACATTGTAGCCAGCATTCTTCTGCACACAGGCACAGGCAAAGTAATCTGCTTTAGCCTGATATTTCTTTAGGGTTGAAGTATATGCACCACCTTTTCCCTCCATCAGTACCTGCAAATTGCTTCTTTCTTAAGTTATATTTTTCTTTGATTACAATTCCTAAAATCCAAGTGAATTATATCATGTTGAACTTTTTTAATCATCAGCTCGGCATTACCTTTGAAAGAAGGATTTGTACACCAGCATATTTGTTGTCCCAAGAGAATTCTTTGACTGCCCATCCGGTTCCACCCATGTACACAGCATTGTCCACAACATACTTCAAGTAGTACTCCTCGTTTGTTGCGCGATATAGCCAGGTTGCAGCCCATAATAACTCATCCTTCACCAACCAAAAAGGAAAATGGTTTAGAACATATGAACAATAATGGAATGCACAAGAGCAATTTGTGTAAGAATATCTAGATATAATATAGTGCTAACCGAATAACCAGATGAAGTATAGAACTGATGGGCACTTTTGATAGAATCATCATATAATCCTCTAAACCGGTTTGCGAATGTGAAGAGCTGCAGCAGATTGAAACTTAACCATTAGTCAAGAGGCATGCTGCAATGTACTAATAATTAATATAACAGCAGAAAAATTGATTTGATATATAATAGCCAGTGAGAAATTGAATATCAAGAATTGAAATACCTGTTTTGCATGAACCAGGAGAAGATTGGAGTAGGAAGAATTGTAAGGCTTGAAAGCAATGGCGGCAGCAGCCAATGCAGCAGCAGTTTCACCAGCAAGGTCTGAACCAGGATGATTTTGATCAATTTTGAAAGCTTCTCTTGGAGTTGTCATGTCTTCGGCACGCTCCCAGCAATAGTGATCAGAGTCCCCATCTCCTACCTAAATTTCAATTGCAATACCGATTACAATTGCATAATAAAAGAATCTGACCATTTTTCTTTACACAGCACTATCTCAGAAGAAAGAATTTTTATAATTATATAAGAAAAGAAATACCCAACTAAACAAATAGTTATAGATTGGTAAGACCAAGCATGAGAAATAGGTCACCAAACTATTTCTCATGAGAAATAATCAGTAACAGTAGTTTTTTGTACCTGTCCCCAAAGAACGTTAGGCTGAGTATGAGCTTTCATGAAGTAGTCAGTCCCCCATCTGATGGCCCATAATGCGTGTCCCATCTGGTTTAAATCAGTTATCTCTTTCCTGTATTCAATAGTTCCCCATGCAAGCATAGTCACAGTAAACGCCATTGGCAGCCCAAACTTCACATGGTCTCCTGCATCATAGTATCCTCCCACCAAATTCACCTGCATTTCCAAAACAAATATGTAAAAAATTTGCTTCAAAACTTCACATACAAATATTAAGTTTAATTTAATTACCCCTTGAAGAAAGCCGTCCTTGAGACCAGAGTCTCCACGCCACTTGACCCTCTGGGTGGCGGGTAGTTTACCAGACCTCTGCGCCTCAAAAAACAAAAAGGTCTTGTCCAAGGCATCATCGTAGTTGAAGTAAGCTTCTGCAACGGCTGCCTTGAAGACGAGTAGGCAAACCAGAAAGATGCATACTCCAAAGTTTAAGCTCCTCATGATGATGATGATATCTAGCTTTTTGGCTCAACCCAAATCAACAAACAAGTATACTACTTATGCATGGTTATGTTTGACAGGGTCGTGTATATATATATATATATATAAATTTTGCTATATCTAAATGATTATATGGTTGTAGCCTTCACGTTCGAATGATTTGATGAAAGAGTTGAAAGCAAAATGTTTGAGGCTGTCACGTTGTGTTGGACAAATGGAATTATTTGCATATTTTAAAGAGGAAGAATGCGGTGCTGGAAACTGCATGCATTTGTTAAATGCGCCCTGTTCTGGTAGCCAACCTCGAGACTTTTATCCATTTGTTTGTTTATTATTGTTGATGATTGCGAGATCAGAGGTTGGTGGCTTGATGAATGTAGAACTAATGGGTTATGGGCTTGATATGTAGGACACTTTCTGGGCTATCTGTTTTATTGGACTTGGAAATCAAATTAATTGGACACATTTTCTCAATATAAATGTTCTCAAATAAGCTCCAAAATTAATTAATATTTAAATATATTATATATTTTTTTTCAAAATTACCCTTTTCCTAATTTTTTTTAATTTCTTTTCTTTCTTAAAAACTTTATGATTTAGAAACAATTATGGAAAATCATTAAAAAAAAAAAAAAAATTGCAGAAAATATTTTTTCCATTCTTTGTTTTGTTTTGTTTTTAATGGTTTTTATAACTATTTCTAAATCACTAGTATATTTGAGTAAAATTTCCTTCATTTCTAAATAATAAATGATTAAAAAAAGGAAAAAAAAATTCAAGAAGGATTTGATTTTTGAACGAATATGTTGTTTATTAGTCATGATTAAATAAATGAGAAGTTAAAAAAAAATTAAGAAAGAAAAAAATTAAAAAGACTAGAGAAATAGAGAAGTTAAAAAGGATTAGAAAAAAGGTTAATTTTGGAAGAAAAAAAACTAAAATTTATTTAAATTTAATTGATTTTGGGGCTTAAAAAGAAACATTCATGATTCAACTAAAGTTGGTTGACAATTAAATTGTGTTGATGCTTGATTTTGACACCAACTAAACGCACGTGTGAAATGCTGAGCTGGCTTAGAAGACACACGTGAATGAGGGATTGAGAATGTAAATGGTAGAAAGACAATGTTTAAAGTGGTTCAGATGCTTAAACAAGCAAATCCTACGTCCACTAATATTGTATTTATATTTGAAGGATCAGGTCGCGACTTAGCGAGTTGACTTTAGAGTGTTGAGAATACAGATGAGAGAGAGAGAATAAGCTATTATAGAGAGAAGATAGCTAATCAATAGTAAAAATGAGCGAATCCCCTAAACGGGAGAGAAGCCCTCTATTTGTAGTGGGATACATTGAGGTAATGATTACTGAATCCGTAAAAAGGGGTTAGGTACCGTGCAAATCCTTCTTTGCGTCCCGTTGTTCACCTACTCAAGTGATTTCCTCGGTTTATGCAGGGATTGGACATGTGGACGGCTTCTAGCCTCTTGTCAGTCTGGCGCGCACTCACTGCACTGACAAGAACATGTTGCTCACGCCAGCATGCGATGTGGCCGCGTTTGAATGGCTGTAGGATTTGCCTAGACTCTGACCATTTGTGCTAACTGGGCTCTGCGTCAGCCCTACCAGAAGTCGCCTAATTTTTAAGGTTTGAGAATTGAACCTTGGAAATTATAAATGCCTTGATTTGATGTGTTTGGAGAGATGCTGGTCGAAGCGACCTAATTGCGAAGGAGGTCGAGAGGACATTTCCTCACATGTGACCTGGGGTGATCTTTGTCCTTACAGTCAGCGACCTGGATTTGGGTACCTAATGCTATAATGATGATTCCGACCTAGATGGAATCCTCGACCTGTTTACACCTAGCAACTTTCAAGAGGATAAATGGTCGTTGCTTCGCAGCTGATGTCCATCGAGGTCGAAGAATCACATCGCTTCGCAACCAACGTGAGACAAGGTTGAAGGGTTACGTCGCTTCGCGACTTACAAAATGAAGAGTGTTTTTCATAACGACCTCTTCAGATGTTATTCGTTGCACTTTTGCAGCGGATACATTAAATGAAGCACCTTTCGCTCTTACAAACGTGTCTTAAGCGCAAGAAGTGCTAGCCATGCGCATTAAATGCGAGCCATGCTGAAACAACATTCCCTATTAGAGCATTAAATGCGGACGTGGGCGTATTAAATGTGAAGGAGGGAAAACGTGCTGTTGCTTAAGTGTTTCAATGGAAGGGGATGACGATCTGATTTCTTGAGGCGTGACGGCCACTCTTCCTCGCTGATTTGTGACACGTGGTCGCGATCAACAGTCGGATGTGTTTTCCGCCTAAACATCTTTTGACTTCGAGAAACCAAAGCGCCACTTCCTCAGCTATATAAACCCCAAGCTCTCCTCAGGCAAAGTCACAATACTTTCATTCTCAGAGAGAGCAAGAAACTTTCGCGAATCTTGGTTCTTTGTCTTCCAGAGTGGTGTTTGCCTGATACTCGGAGCAAAAAAGTCAATCTTTCTCATTTCAAGAGGTAAAAACGATTCCCTTCTCCTATTTTTGGTTTGATTTTGCTTTCGACAATCGCCATGTGATGACTGTCCGTCGGTAGCTTATCGAAGATAAAATATCCTCCGTTTGATCAAGTCCATTGATGGTGGCCCTTTAAGCATTCTGTTAGGGTTTTTCTAGGATTTAGGGAGGAAATATTTATTTTTTCCACCACATCATCGTACGAGATAATGTATGAAGACTAAATGGTTCCCTGCTTGTCGCTTTTACAGACCGTAGGAGAATGGACCCCCCAACGACCAGAGCCGAGGAAGGGACTAGCTCGCCCATGCAGGATGCTCTTGCGGGTCCCACTCGAGAGATCTTCTTGGTACTTATCGAGGAAGAGCTTGAAAGGGTGGTAGACCAGTACATTATCAGCGTTGAGGTCTTCCGTGATAGGACACACATAGCTCGGTATCCGCCACGAGGGTTGGTCGCGATCTCTGAGGACATGTTCAAGGTTGGGGGGTTGATCCTTTTCCACCCCTTTGTCAGGTCGGTCCTCGATCATTTCGGGATCACGCCAATGCAGCTCACACCGAACGCGCACATGATTGTCATTGCCATGTATATCGCGTGCTGTGAGAATGGACTGAGAGGGCTAATTGCGGTAGAACTCGGTTGCTCATATATTCTAAAAAAGAGCAAAGACAAGGATTCCTACTACTTGTCCAAGCGAACTACCATAGAAGCGGGGATACACAGTTACCCGAGTAATGTAGGACCGCATGAGACGAAGTTCTTTTTCTTTCATCATGATGACATTTATTGCTTTTTGGAGTCGAGTAGGTTCTTTCTCCTTTCTAATTTATTGACTTGATTTGTCCTTTGCTAACAAGCTGTTTATTTTTTTGGCAGTTAACAAAATAACCAGTTTAGAGCTGCTCACAGACCCGGACAGAATCACAATCTTTGGTTTTCTGCCTGAAGCAAGTCGCGACGCGAGGCTGCTCGTAACAATCGCGAATTTGAGGAAATATGGCTTCTTCAACTGAGACGCGGCCTTAGAGACCCCACCGAGTAAGTTTCTTGACTTCTTTTCTACTTTTCACGTAGCGAACTGTTTTACTAACGGTGTTCGCATACAACGCCCATGCCTCCCAAAGTGCCCAAGTCACCACGACCAAGACAATTTTCCTTCCCCCGAAAGGGTCCCACCAGACTAGGCACATCGGCAGCCGATTCGGCCTGACCTAAGGGCATTACTCGCCCTAAGCAGAAAACCACGGCCTAGAGGCCTAAAAAGAGGAGGCAGATTCGGACCAAAGAGTCAGAGTCGAAACCGAAGGGTTGGGGCATCTAACCCAAGAGATTGCAACCTTACCAAGCATTCTGCTCGGGATAGCCAGTTAGGGGTGCGACCGGTATCTTTATCACCCCCAGGGGTCAGTAGGTAGGACAACAGGCCACTGCAGTCCTCAAGAGGAGGTCAGGAAAAGAACCGGCAGGGGGGACTTTACCCACTATAGGCACTGGCACCCCCGTCCTGGAGTTAATGGGATAGCTACCAGACCATTTGGAGCCGGCAGTCTTTGCATTGCTCGAATGCTGGCTTGCGGAGGCTTTCGAGCAGTTCGTGACTTCCGGTACCATAGACTTGATGACCACATCCTTCCACCACCTGAGCTTGGTCAACGAGCTGCATTTGGCGAGGACATTTGCTTATGCGATATAAATAACTTCATTCTGTTTGCTATGCAGGCCTTGCTCTCCATGCACTTGTACCTGCAGAAGGTCCAGTTGGGGGCTGCTGAGGGATTGGTGGAGGTGAGGGAAGAGAATGCGTAACTTAAGTGAGAGCTAGAGGCCGCGCGAGCAAATAGGGACTCGTCCATTGTCCAGGCGGAGTAGCATTTGTCCAAAAGGGATGCTGCATTTCGTGCGGTGAACTTTTAGAAGTCCGAGCTGGAGAAACACAGCGAGGAGGTGAAGGACCTCTAGAGGACCGTGGCCACACTCACCAGGGAGGCTGGCGAGAAAGACTAGGCGTTGCAAACGACCTCTGAGCAGGCCATGCAAGCTGTGGGAGAATACTGAGAAGCAGCGGTCAGCGCTTGAGGTTGAGCTCTACTTTACTCAAGGCCGCGTCACTTCGCTAACTGTGGAGATGCAGCAACAAGAGGTGAAGATCGAGAATAGGGCTACATAATGGACGATTCAGTCTATTTTTGCCCTTTTTTCGAGGAATCCTGAGATGGATCTTTCCGACCTCCCTGACGAGTACCGAAACGAGCTTGCTTCCATGGCGCAGGCCGAAGCTGAGGAAGCGACTCGGGGACCTGACCTGGAAGAGGAACAGCCTTAGCTCGTTCCTGAGGAGCCCGTGTTCGATCAGGCAGTTGGTGACCAGCCTGGGGATGAGGACCAGTGATCCGCTTCTCTTGTTTTCTCCCTTTATGCTTATTTACTTCTCCTTTTCATAAATAAAGATATTGCTTTTCACAATCTTTCATGAGTATTTATGATTTCCG